AGGCGGAGGCTTAGGGGAGGAGGGCAAGCCAGGGTGATCCTATGCAGAGGGGGGAGTTGCTGTGCATGTGCAGCCTGGAGGAAAGATGGCTAAGGTGGTGGCAGCCCATCGCATCTTTGGGATATCTGAGAGGGAGATCTCGGTGACTTTGTTTTCTTCCGCTCCGAAATCCAGGTAGTCTTCAACTTGCAACAGTTTGTTTAGTGACCTTCAAAGTTAGAACGACACTGAGAAAACCTGACTTACGACCATTTTTTCACAGTTGCTACCTTTGCAGCATCCTCGTGATCAAAGTTCAGAAGCTTGGTAACTGGCTCATATTTATGGCCATTGCTGTGTCCCAGGGTCATGGGATTGCTTCCTGTGACCTTCTGACGAACAAAGTCAATCGGGGAAGTCAGATTCACTTAACAACCGGGTTATTAACTTATCAACTGCAGTGACTCACTTAAATAGCTGTGACAAGAAAGGTCGTAAAATGGGACAAACCTCACTTAACGGATGTCTCCCTTAGCAACAGAAATTTTGGTCTCAACTCTGATCGTAAGTCGAGGACTACTTATACAACATACAGAATTAAAGGGGGTAAGTTAGAGGAAGGGAGATTCTGCTTGAACATTAGATAATTACTATCCAACAGTGGGACCAATTATTAGAGGGCAGGTGGGCTCCCTTTTGTTGGATAAGTTCAAAACAAAGGCTAGACAATTTGGGTAGTTTCCGAAGTAGTTTGCTTGTTTCCTAGGATTGAGAGACGGTGACTGGCCCCAGGTCTCCCCAGTGGCCTAGGCAGAATTAAATCTCAGTCTTCCCATCTATAGCGTGATGCCTTAATAATTATACATCAAGGTACTGTAGTTCTTAGGCAGCTTTTGGGATATTTTAATTTGGAGTTCTCCAGTCAGCACCGGGTTGAGAGTCAGTGACCTAAACAGCCCCTTTCAATTCTTGGATTCTATGAATATGCTGTGAGATAATGGTAGATGTAGTCCAGTCCACCTGGAAGACAAGTGGTGAAGGAAAGGTGTATGAACTCAAACAGTCCGAAGTAAATGCACCCTGGGTGGGCCATAGATTTTGTTATGTCATGTTTTCTTTAACACTTGAATATATTGCAATGACTGGATTTTTACAACATGCTATTTTCAAACCAAGCCAAGTAAAACACAGTCTCTGCCTTCCACTTCAGAACTCCCATTACTTCTTTGGCAGCGGTTATAACCAAAAATAAGGCTTTATTTGGGGATATTTCAGATGGAGAAAATGTCATTTTTGAATGCTTCATTTCACTGGTAATTATTGCCAGCCAAAGGAAAACACTTCTAAAACTGAAATGTTACTTATAACTAAGGATATGCTCACATTTGTTTCATGATAACATGGCAAGTTTTCTGTGTTCAAAGAACACAGAAGATTTAAATTTGCCTCGCGAGTTAGCAGTGTAAAGAGGTCCATTCAAAACATCGTATATTTACAATTTGGCTTTGGAAAGAATACTTGATCTCTTACTTGGAAGAAAATCTGCTCCTCCTGCCCAGATTGCTTTAAATCCAAAATGTCTGTCTTGTTTCATGGTTAGCAGAAGGTAGAATGATTAGCATTGATTTTCTCATTGTTCTTCTCACATTGTTCTTTGTTTCAAAAAAGGAGGTTTACCACGCTAGCTGGTGAAAGTAAAACTAATTGTTACAGGGTTGTTTTTTTTGTAGCTGGACGTGGTTTAGAATGATTTTTTAAAATTTGGATGTTTTCCTGATAGCAAAATATTAAAACCATATGTAATGAAAGACAGCATCTGATTAACAAGATATGCATTTTGCATTTTTGTTGGGCATGGGCCTTTGCAATTAGATGTCGGTGTTATTTTGCTTTAGTAATAAAACTAGGTACTCCACTAATAATTATGTATAAGTTCTATGAAAACCTTTTTTCACTGTGGGCATAAAATACTAATATTAAGCTGTATTGTTTGAAACATGTCAGAGATAGCTGCTCTCCATTATTCTGTTATAACTACAATATGAAAGTTGTTTCTGTGTGAGCTAACTGGCATAAAAGAGATACATGACAATGCAAGTGATGTCCTTTCAGACTTCCAGTATGCCATTTTTCTTCAAAAGCAAATTCAAACAAGCCTACCTCCGCTTTGGTTTCAAAAATCAAATACCTGAATCAGAAGTATGAAAGATATTTGGAAAGGAAATTCCCACGTTTCTATCAGCTCTATTCAACATTTTTAAAAGGTGGGTTTTCATTTAAAAGTATAGTTTATAATTTCAGTGAAAAGGGAATCCAGGAGCATATGTCTTAATTTTGGTAGTATGCAAAATGTTTTAAATTGAAAGTATTGTTTCAGGTTTGAAATGAATTGCACTGATGGAAGTATGTCTGATAGAATTGCTTTGAAATGAGATGGGCGCCAAATAAATTTAATAATAAATAAATAAAACAGTTCTCTTTTAAGGTTTTTTGAAGAATCTCAAAACTTAATTGAAATAACTTTTTGTATGTAAAACAACCATTTCAAACTGAAAACGGAGTGTTTCTGCATACTATTCTGTACACTAAACTGAAGTTTGGGAAACAAGTGCTTATATTAATTATAATAATTGATCCTATATGCAGGATTCCAGATAAATGTACCGAATTCTGGTATAATGAAAGACTCTCATGCTTGTTCCTCCCCTTCCCAGTTCTTTTAGATTTACAAGGAAAATTCTAAAAATACATCCTTCCAATTTAAGTGGAACAGTTCATTATAACGTTTCAAGAGTCTTATTTGAAATTACAATTTGATCCTGACATGTTCTCAGGAACATCTTTAAGCTCAGAAGTCTTAGGTAATTGTTAGTTAACTCCTAGAGGAAGAAGGAAATAGAGAAGAAAGAATAAGTGAGCTTAAGGCTTCCAACAGTTTGTTCTTTTTAATGAAGAAGTGTTTTCCATGAAATCTGATTCAGTCCCGAGTTTGATCAGAGTAGGAAGAGATTAACATATGAGCAATATGTTGACATTCTGAATGAAGTTTTGTGTGTGTGTGTGTGTAAATTTCTTTTTATGAAAGCAGTGGGTTTTGCAGAATCATAAAAAGGAAAGGAAAGCACATGTATAAGAATAGCCAACATAGCTGAATGTCTTCTTATTTCTCGACAGTTTTCTCTCATTCTTTCTAAGAAAATAGTATATATGCACAGTAAATAGTAGATATGCAATATATATATAATACCTTACAAGAGGGCTGAAGAAGCTAAGTTTATACTAAGAAGACTATTATCAATGCTACTATTCTGTGTTTCTATGGCATGTCCTACTAATACCATTAAATCAGGAGGGAAACAATTACATGACCAAGATTGAGCAAGACAGTCAAAGGGCCCTGAAATCAATGAACACAGGGAATTATAGGTCTTTGGTGATTCTCAGTCATCCAGATCATGGTTGTCTCAAAGGTGATTTTTCAAAAGGCAACTGGACTGGTTATTTTTCCCTTGAGGAAGAAGAAGAAAGCATTTTGCTTCTCATCCCAGAAGCTTCCAACTGATGAAGCTTCTCGGAGGAGGAGCGAAACGTTTTCTTCTTTTTCCTCAAGGAAAAAAACAACAATCCAGTTGCCTTTTGAAAAAGCACCTTTGAGACAAGGAACTGTAACCTAAAAGGGAATGGATTTATTTTAATTTTCAGATTAAAATAAATATATGAAATAGACAATAAAAAAGTGGAAGTGAAATCTGAAAATAATTATATGTTCTGTTCAGGCTTGCAGGTTTTCTTTTCAGAAGCAAAAGAAATAAGAAGAATAAAGGCAGACATGTTAAATAAGAACATCCAATTCCATCAACTTCCTTACAGGGAAATGGAGAGACTAAGACAGGTTGGTTTATATTCCGTGTTCTCTCTTTCCTGCTGATTTTTTGATCTTACATTGTACTAGATGTTGGAATTAACAGGTGAATTTTAAGCAGCATCTAGTTTCTGCACTTCAACAACCATCTTTATTCATACATGAGTAATTATCTTACATAGTACATATCTAGTATAACTTTTTCCTTCTACGTTCAAGGATTTTAACATAAATGTTTGCTTTAATTTGATAGGTTTACAGATGATCCTCTTTTGAAATGATCAGAAATGAGCATTCTCTCTCCCCTCCCCCTTTCTAAGGCTCCATTCATTCAGCAATAATCTGGAGTCTGTTTTATGATTAGGGGGGAAAAAACAAGCAGCAGATGGGGCTAGAGTTAAAACAAATATAAAGCCACCCATTTTTCTAACAATTATTTCCTGACACAATCTTGCATTTTTCCAAAGCTGGAGGAAAACAACTGACAATTCTTATCAAAGGCCTGGACTGGTTTTTGCAGAGAATTTTGAAATTGGGGCTAGGAATTCATGACATACAGCCTCGGGGCTGACCTAGATTCCTGGCATAACATCAGGCATAAACTGTGACTTAAACCCCACAGTGACTTATGTTCACACAATGCACCAAGTGAAAATCCAGTCTACCGCATCTTGTGCCCTAATCACCGTTCGGTTCATATATAGTCAAGCAGATCTGTCATAAAATGTGCAACAACATTCCCTCCCCCCTCCCAATGGTAACATTATTGCAATCTGGGTGCTGTTTGCACTTTCGTGCAAATGGAGAGGAGTTGAGCTCAGCGGGCAACTTTTTCACTCCATGGACTTTACAACCCAGGAGATCGCTTAATGACCATAACTGGGAGTGCCATGATTGCAGACACTGAGTGAAAGAGTCATGTGGGCATCTCAATGTCCTCATCGTGGAACAATCAAGATTCCAGCTCCTAGTCATAGACTTCCTGTATTGCGTGAATCCAAATAGTTATGGCTTTTAAAATAAATTTTTAAATAAATCTTGGTTAAATTAATCATGATTTACAATGATGAGTGAATAATTATGTGCCACGGATAATACTCATATACAGGAGTCTCTAATAGCTCTAAGACAGTGTTTCTCAACCTTGGCAACTTGAAGATGTCTGGACTTCAAGTT